AGTTGTTGGGCAAAAAGTGGATTTAAGTTTAAAGAGCAGTAATAATAAAAATGTTGAAATAATTGTTGAGAAGCTGCTATTGCTTTGAAAAAAAGGTAAGTGTTGCTTGAGATTGTTGCAGTTGTTGATGTTGTTTTAAATGTTGATGTTGCTGTTGTTGTTGTTGTTGACGATGATGATGATGATTTATAAGATGGTACGAGTGTCGTTGGTGATGATTATGATTGTTACGGTGATGATGATGATTAATATAAAATAATTTAATTTAAAATAAACGATGATTATAAGAACGATCTCTCTCTCTCTCTCTCTCTCTCTCTCTCTCTCTCTCTCTCCCTCTCTTTCACTCTTCTTTTTCTTCTCTCTCTCTTCTCTTTTTATCTCTAGAATGTATACAAAACAAGTGAAACATAACACAATATCTTATGTATGTGTGTTTGTATGTGTGTTTGTTCGTCTGCTTGTATGCGTGAAGGCGTGTGTATGTATATATGTATGTGTTTGTACACTCGTATGTGCTTGTGTATATGTATGTATATTGGTATGTATACAAAGTTTCAGACAATGAGAGAAGATTATTTTTTATTTGTACATGATTCATTGCACAGCAGTTTAGCATTTTTTTGTGTGCGTACACACACACACACACACACACACACAAACAAACACACACACCACACACACACACACACACACACAACGTATATACATTCATACATAATTACACACAAATGTAACATCTGAATGAAAGATTGAACAAGAAATGAGTTAATGAGTGATGGAAGGGGAATGTACGGATGAATGAATGATTGATTGACTGATTGAAAAAATGTGTTAACCGGGGTTTGGAAAAATGGATGGATGGGTGAATGAGTGAACAAACGAACGAACGAACGAAAGAACGAACGAACGAACGAACGGATGGATGCATGGATGGATGGATGAATTGGATATTTGTATGGTTGCAGAGGCGAACAAATGAATTGAACGAATAGATGGACGAATGAGTGAATGATAAAAAGAGCAAATAAGCAACACTAACAAAATAATTGTAACTAATAAACCAACAACCAACACCAAGTAATCACATGCACACACACATACATACATGCACACACACATACATACAAACAAACATACATTCTTACAGCAATATTTTTTGTTTAATAATACATAACATTTTTTTTAATGTTCTAGTTTACATCTCAAGTATGTAACCCCGCCATCGTCATCATCATCATCATCATCATCATCATCGTCGTCGTCGTCGTCATCATCATCATCATCATTTTTTGAATAATACCAATAAAAAAAATAATAATAATAACATCAACAGTAAGAACATGAACGGTTTTCATGACGATTTGGAGTCTTTGGTCACTCCGGAAATAACAAAACCCTTGACTATAGTTGCAATCGAAAGCGAAAGCGGAACCGGAAGTGAATCTACGAATTTGGAATTCCAGTGCTCCGTGCTGGCTGAAATAAATGCCGGAAAATTAAGTAGGCCCACCATCGATTGTTATTATTATTATTTAATATTATTATTATTTATTATTATTATTATTATCATCATCGTCATCATTAAAGTATGATGCTATAGTGTTATGTTGCTGCTTATGTTGCTTATGTTGATTAATGTACCATTCTTCTATCGAAGTATTATTTTTTTGACCTGTTCATTCGTTCATTCTTTCGTTCGTTTGTTCATCCATCCATTCATATATTTGTTTCTCCATTTATTTTTTCATTCATTCACTCATTCATTCATTCATCTACCTATTAATTCATCTATTAATTTATTCATTCATTTAAGGTTGTACATGGCTTAAAGATGGACTCGCTATCAATTTTGATGATGATGGCAAGTTAACAACAATAGTAGTAGTAGTATTAGTAGTAGTAGTAGTATAGTAGTAGTAGTAGTAGTAGTAGTAGTAGTAGTAGTAGTAGTAGTAGTAGTAGTAGTAGTAGTAGTAGTAGCAGTAGTAGTAGTAGCAGCAGCAGTAGCAATAGTAGTTGTAGTAGTAGTAGTAGCAGTAGTAGTAGTAGCAGTAGTAGTAGTAGCAGCAGCAGCAGCAGTAGTAGTAGTAGTAGTAGTAGCAGCAGCAGTAGTAGTACTAGTATTGCTATTAATACTACAACAAATAATAATGAAATGTAAATTTTTACAATGTTTGCTGCGTTAACAATACATGAAAAAAAACTAAACACTGTAATACGATTTTTGTAATCTTTTGCTGTCAGATTACAAAAATTACAATGTTTACAAATCATATCCTGTAAAATTGTAATGTAGTAATGCCAGTAATTTGCTAAAGTTTGTAAAAATTTACTGCTTGCCTCTGACATCTGTTGAAAAATAAATTTTTTTTTTTTTTTTGAGAATATTTTTTTCATATTCACGCGCAGTAAGATTCAGTCAGACATTGGTGAATGACATCGACAACAACATCAACAACAACATTAACAAAAACAACAACATCAACAACAACAACATCAACAACAACATCAACAGCAACAGCGATTATCATTTCGACAATTTTGATGACCAACAACATCAACAACAACAACAACAACAACAACAACATCAACATCAACAACAACATCAACAACGTCAACAACATCAACAACAACAACGATACTACAAAGCCGTTCTGAACCTGAAAAATGTTTCACTATCAGACGCTGGTCTGTATGAAATTGTCGTTGCCAGTAAACACAAGAAGACCGCGAAATCTGCTGTCAAACTTAATTTTGGCGGTAAGTACATATTGTTATTATCATTGTTATTAATGCTGTTTCTGCTGCTGCTGCTGAAGTTGCAGCAGCTGCTGCTGATGTTGTGGATTTTGTTGTTAGCGTTATCAGTTGCCATAACTTAGTTTCAAAACAATCGAAAGCAGTAACAGTACAGCAACACACATGCCCACACATTCACACAAACACACACATAAACACACACACACACACATACACACATAAATACACACACACATATACTCAAACACATTTTCATATATACACATATACACCGTAAAAGTTATTTCGAACTTCAGTCTCATTTTTTGTTAGTTTCAGTTTCTCTGATTTTTCATGTCTTTGTTTATTTTCATTATTTCTTTGTTTTATTATATCTTTGTTTATTTTTATTATTTTTTTTATTATATCTTTGATAATTTTTTTTTTTTTATAACTTAACTCATGCAAATGCTGGTGCTGTGGTATGTAGACAGCCTGGATTAATGTATGTTTGTTTGGGTGTGTATGTGTAAGTACTTGTGTGTGTGTGTGTGTGTGTGTGTGTGTGTATGTATTTGTGTGTGTAGGTGTGTATGTATTTGTATGTGTATGTGTGCGTGTGTGTCTTTGGAATTTTTCAGTTTTTTTCTTCAAATATTTTCTCTTCAGTATTTTAAGTTCGATGTTTTTTCATACCACTATACATAGATGCATAAAAAATTTTGAAGCGAGTAAAAGAGAGAGAGACAGAGAGAGACAGAGAGAGGAAAAAGAGAGACAACAGATACTACAGACATACGGACAGACATAGAAAGACAGTGTAAAAAAAGACAATAAATGAGAGAGAGAAAGAAAGAAAGAGAAATAGGAGAAGAGAAACAAAGAGAGAGCAAGATAAATGGAGAAAGAGAGAGAGAGAAAACTCATTAATAAATATTCTTGAAAGGGGTGGGCAAACTACGACCCTTGTTCCTCGGTTCGAAAAATTTGCTATTCCATTACATATGCGGCCCTTCAAAGGTAAAGTAGTAACTCCATGCGGCCCTCACAGCAAAAAGTTTGCCCACCCCTGGCCTGGGACAGATACAAAGTAATTATTATTATTATTATTATTGTAATTATTATTATTACGGTTATTTTTTAATTACCTTTTAATTAAAAAGGCCCAGAGGCATTTCTTTCTAAAATTAAATCTGAAAAAAATTTGAAAGGATAATAAAAATGATAATTATACCAGCAGTAACGATGATTAATGTTTTGAATTTTGCCATATTAATATCGATTCTCCGTACCTATACTTATCAAATTGTGATTGTAATTAGAATTGTTGTTGTTGTAGTTATTGTTGTAGTTGTAGTAGTAGTAGTAGTAGTTGTTGTTGTTGTTGTAGTAGTTGTTGCTGTTGTTATTGTAGTAGTAGTAGTAGTTGTTGTTGTTGCGTTGCGGTAATTGTGCAGTTTGCAATGAAAAAGTTAATTCCCGGGTACTTGAAATTCTTAACAGTTGATGTATCGTTCTAATTATCATCATCATTATCTTCCTCATCGTCGTCATCTTCTTCATCTTCATCCTCATCATCTTCTTCTTTTTCTTCTTTTTCTCTTTCTTCTTCTTCTTCTTCTTCTTCTTCTTCTTTTCATCTACACCACAATCATCATCTTCTTCTTCTTTATCATCTTCATCTCATTCGTTTTCATGATTATCATCATCAATAGCATCATCATCATCATCGTCGTCATCTTCTTCATCCTCATTATTGTAGCAATGGGTCAATCACAGGTTATGAAAATTATGATATGACAACACGCATTTTGACTTCATAATTCTGACGTTGATGTTATTGTTGATATTATTATTATCATTATTATTATTATTATTATCATTATCATGATTATTATTATTATTATTATTATTATTATTATTCATAATAAAAACAATAAATAATTTTTTTCCAGATCCTGAAAGCAGTAAGCCGAAGTTAGTAGCTTATTCGTTATTCAATTTTAATTACTCCACATTACTCGAACTTAAAATATTTCATAGTTGTTTAATTCTGAAAGAAAGGAAGAGAGAGAGAAAAAGAGAAAGAGAGAGAGAGAGAGAGAAAGAAAGAAAGAGAGATATATAAGTTGACAGAGAGACAGATAGAAAGAGAGAGAAAGAAAGAGAGAGAGAGAGGAGTTTGTACATTTCAATTAAAAATATCATTTCAGAGATGTTTAATATTTCAATCATCTTTATCAAATTATGAAATAAACAAAAATAGAGAAAGAGAGAGAGATTGAGAGAAAGAGAGAGAGAGAGAGAGAGAGAGAA